AACCACAGACTTCCAAAACCAGAAGTGAAATTAAAGTGAAGAAATGGAGGCAGAACATGGTGACATGATCTAATAGTAAGTGCCAAAACCACTGGAACCCATTTCTTGACTCCTGGATGAGTGCTTCTACACTGACCTTCCTGAGGACACAATTTATAGCAGCTGGGATAGAGTGGGCTCCCTAGATTGTCAACCCAGGTTTCCCTCCATGGCCCTGGTTCCATAGCTCCTCCCTATTGGATCTGCTGGAGCAGTTGGTTAATTTGGTCAACTTTCTTCTCCTTTTTCTCCTGCTTCTTCGCTAACCTGCCCTCCATGTGGTTCAACTGGCACTTAAAAAATTACTGTGCCCACAATACAGACAGCCAGTTTGGCTATAGCCAGTTCTAGGTTTTCCAGTTCTGGTATCCTACCTCCCTAGTGACACTGTGATCAGGTGGCAGGCATAAGACCCAAACAAAGCCAATTAGAGATGCCTTTTTGAGCAGTACTTGGATGTTACGAGGCTATATCGTATGTTCGAGATTCACAAGTAGTAGAGATGCGAGCTTTGGGCTGCCAAGTGCTATCTTTTCCACCAAGTAAAGAGAATCTTCTTGAAAAGAAGCCAACACAAATTGCTCAATAAATGTTATCCATTATACAGGCCACATTCTGCTCCTGGGAAATACAAGGTCTCTGTAAACTAATGGAGGTAGGCAAGAAAAACCAGATACAAAAACTCAATTTTTTGTTATAGTAGCAACTATCCTTACTTTGGGAGAAATATGGTTTTGTAGAAATAAGGTGGGCTCACTAGGCTGAGACCTGGTTTGAATCCAGATTCCACTGCTTACCAGCAGTGCTTGGCAACCTGAATTAACTTGGCTCCGGCTGCTGTGGAGATTGATATACCAGAGTTCCCAGTTCATGTAAGCATAAAGTTCCTTCCATTAGTGTGGTCAAACTCTACTTAACAGGAGAGAACTTTTGACACACTTAAGGCTTCTGAAAGTTGACTTGTTCTTTCCAAAAAATCCTTAAGGAAAGAAGGTAGTTGGAGAAGTCCACCTTGTTATTTCGAGATAAATTCAGAGGGAAAGGAAACTATGTTTAGGGCACTTTTAGGAAATGGTTGCTTTTATTACTGAAATCTGCTCTTACTCCATTTTCCCTCATATTCTAGTCTTGCAGTGGACAGTTCCTTTACTGAGAGTACTAGTCATCTTTAAGATTACTGATTCAGGTTCCCTTAAGTTATACATTATATTAATGAGCCTCTTACTATTCAGAAGAAAAGCTCTGGAACATTCCTCCTCCAGTAAATTCTGTTCCTATGAGAGGCTCCCTACTGGTTAATTTTCATTGCCTACCAGGAAACACATCTATTTGGACACAAAAATCTCTGTTGAACTGTATAAGGCACTTTGTAAATATTTACTGCATTAAAGGAACCAAGTTAATAACAAGACTAGGATGCTACTCTCCAGAACCAGGACGTGTAATAAACTGTAAAAATAAGAATGGCAGAGATATGTGTTCAGTCGTTTCATTAGACTTAATTTTGCCTATACAAACTAAAACCCCAGCAAGTTCTTGCAAGATCCTATTTTCAAATAGGAAGGTCTCTTCTATTTTATAAGACTCTTGAAGTCCCCTCCTTTCCATTCATATAGTGCCATACATAAAAAGTGGTTTTGGAAAAGTCAAATAATTGGGAAAATAAGGAACCAGAAATAAGCCTATAGTAGGCTTCTAGGCCAGTGGAATGTCAGCTTAATACCAAATATAGTCAATAGGAAGTATAGTTCCATTAAAATATTTCAGATATTACTAACTAATGATGTTTATACAAAGTCATTCTAGGTGTTTCAGATGTTACAGTTTGCTAAATAAATACTTTGGCAGATCTCTGGAAACATTAAGCCTGAATGCAAAAAACACGCAACCATGGTTAATCAGTCTATTTCCTTTTATTTTATTTTCTTAGCTTTTTCAAGATCCATTTCAACCATCCTATACCTCCTGGGAAAAACAAAGGCAAACAGCTGGCAAGTAAAATATGCTATACTTTGGGCAACTCTGCCTCATGAGTCTATGAGAGATGACTGGTTATCAAAACACTGAGCAGAATAGATGCTACAAAAATATGTATGAATTAAGTGTATTGGAAAAGGTGGAAAAATAAAGCTAATTCGATTGCTTTTTCTCTGAAATATATATTTGTTGAAAGTTTTGGGGTGTTAATTCATAAGCCCAAATGGCTAAGACTGTGCATGGATAGTCTCTTTTCTTCTTATTTACTGAATAATTTGAAGATGCTGACATCTTCAGCGTGTGCTGAACACAACTATGGATTAATCAGAGGCTGTATTTGGGGATGCTGCCACCACAGCAGTGGAAAGATAAAACAAAGAGGGGGGCCTGCATGGGAGCATATATAAAAATATGCATCCACTATTAGCTAAAACTTCAAAACAGTTCCAAATGAAGTCTTCCTCATGGCACAGATGGCTTTGCAGTCACTCTTAGATGAACCCAAATCTGATCAGGAGACAAGTGGTTGTCAAAAGTGTTAACCAGTCATTGTCCCCCTCTTATTTTTCAGGCAGTTGTTAGGCAATTAGTGAACTTCTGGCTGCCAGGGATTCTGATGCTTCTTCCTGTCTTCTAGGACACATGGGAATTTTCTGAATCCAAAGGAAATACAGGCTCACTGGATTCTCAGCACCTTGGTACAGCAGTTGTTCCCAACTTTTTCCTGCCCCTGAACTACTGAAATGAACAATTACCTCTATCAGCTATGTATGCCATTACATAAAGATTCTCAAGGAGGGCCAACGGGTACATCCATCTCACTCAACCCAGAGTGGTATACAAAAGGGGGAAGAAGGAGCTGGGGATATATAGCTCAGTTGGTAGAGTGTTTGCCTTGCATGCACAAAGCCCTGGGTTCAATCCCCAGCACCACACACACAAAAAAAGCAGGGTACAGGGGAGAAGATGAGACATAATATGAAAAGCATCACCCCTAGCAACTCTACTACATCTCCTGGCCAACATTCAGCCCTACTCACCAGTTTCTCTTGCCTCCCTTCCCTTGTTTTAGAATCAAGTAGGTTAAAAATAATGAATAAAAGAACAAAACATAATAAGATAATCAAACAGACCTGAGATCCAGGAAGAAATGACTGGTCACTAACCATGAAGTAATGACCAGGGTAGAAAATAAGAGTTACAACTTTCTAAAATCAAACAAAAATCACTTGTGTGATCCCTGAGATCTTTACGTAAGGATAGCTTTACACAGACGTTCCTGAGTAGAGGCATAATAATGTCATCCTGAGTTGAGGATATTAAAAATGGAATAATTTACAGAATCAAGTTGAAATTTTCTCTATTTTTTTTCCAAAAAGAAAACTTGTCTTGTTTTTATTCAGAAAAACAAACTACTGTTTACATAATCTATTATACTTTAGAGATAATAATTTTGGTTTCAGCTCTTCTTACCTCTACTTATTTATATCAAATTTCTCCAAGGATGTAAGACATGCAGAAGAATGGCTCCACATTAGAAAAGAAAATCAAGATAATAGCTGCTCAGATGTCAGTGGCTCAGTTTTTTTTGCACTGACACTTTTGAAATCTTTGGGGTTTGCCAGGGCTCCACTGCTACCTCATTTTGTTTCTCATATTTGGGAACTTGTTTTCTTTTTTTTTTGTAAAATGATGCCCATTATACCACTGTGATGTCAGGGTAAACATGTAGCCAAAAATCTAATCCTAATTATAAGGGCAATGAGTGAAAAGTATTACTAGCAATCAGCCTGGTTTTCAGATGGAACTTTGATCTGATACTACCATTTACAGTCATGTCCAGAAGGTCAAGTTGTCATTAGTGGAAATGAAGCACACCACCAAACTCTGGGGACTGAGAAGCAGGTTACCAATATAAGTCTAGACATCCCATTTCTGTGACACTAATATACAGGTATGCTTTCAATATATACAGGTATGCTATCAAGTTTCTCCTCCCCACCCCACTTTTTAATTTTTTTTTAAGTTGTCAATGTACCTTTTATTTTATTTATATATTTATTTTATTTATATATGGTGCTGCAGTTCGAACCCAGTGTGCCTCACACATGCTAGGCAAGCGCTCTACCACTGAGTTACAACCCCAGCCCTCCTCTGTACCTGCTTTTTTTTTTTTTTTTGGTTACCAAACAATGCTGTATAAAATCTTTTTTTTGTTGTTTTGTTTTGTTTTTTAAGAAGAGGGTTATTTGTCCAGTAGGATATCCTTAACAACAAAGGGGATTCAGAGGTTCTTGCAAACTAATTCACTTGGGCTGCAAGTAAGCCTGATGAATTACTATTAACTCCTTGAAATAGCATACTTATCTACATAGTAGTCATATTTTCTAGATTAATCCTCAGCTATTATTGCATAAACAATGAACATTTATATTAATTCTATTTTTCTTCCAGATTCTACAGGGACCATTATATTTTGTTTTCTGTAGTATTCTTAAGACAAATTATAATAAAATCACATGATAGAAAAACTGGCTGGAAAAAATGAGATTTTGATTCAGGATGACTGAAATAAAATTTTCTTTCTGAACTTAAAACACAAAGGTCTAGGTAATTTTATAGAAAATGGGTGAGCAAATTTCTAACTGTAAAATAGGACAATTCAATCTTAAATACAAACAGAATAATGAAATATTAATAGAAAAAAGCTCAATGCATCCTACAGAAGTGTTCAGTGGCTTCCCTACAACTATTTAAAGCTAGTGATCACACTTTTATTCAGTTCAGGGTAAAATCCAAGCAAGACATAAGAAACAGATTAAACTGAATTGTGGGCAGCCATTTATTGTTTCCCTCTGCAGTGCTAAGAATGGAACCCAGGCCTTGCACATGACAGGCAAGTGCTTTATGCCTAAGCTATATCCCCAATTCAGCAGATATATATATATATATATTTTTTTTTTAAAGACTACAAACACATCAGGTAGGATTACACACTTTAATCTGATCGACATGGACAAAGTAGGGAGGACATGAAAGAAATTTAGTTTTAGCTTTGCTTTATGCATAACCAGATGCAATTTTTCTAAAAAGAGTAAGGTTTAAAAACCACATTCTGTCAGAATACCTCAGAAAACCATACTATGTGTAATCCAGGAAATACACTATTTGCAGAATAGGAAAATCATAATGTGCAACAAAAGATTAAAACAAAAGAAAGCACCAAGGTTTTGAGCAGTTTTAAAGTGAGTATATCTGCAGAAATAATATAAATGTTCCTGACTGGCTGCTATGGAAACATGCTAATGAGGATTGGTCCATGTCTTACAATATTTTTCTTAACATGTTTCTTTGGAAAAGTGGCAAAATTGGCTGGGAGTGAAGCTGTCTTTTTAGACACCAAGCTTATTGGCTTGGGTGAGAACAACTTTGAGAACTGGCATGAAAGCAGAGGTCTCACTGAAGTTGCTGGTGCTAACTATGTGGGTATGGATGGTCAAACCTTCTGAGTAGTTTCGAGTTTCAATGCTCCTTGCAATGTTGTGTAAACCATTGATGATTGTTGGTGAAAGCTGAAATAAAGGTGAGACCAAGAGAAAGAATTAAATTAAGGAGAATTTTTCAAGACCCTTACTACACATTAGACCCAGATATTTAAGTGGAGCTTAGAATAAACATTTAAAAAATGTATAAAATACTTAAGCATTTCTAGAAACAGCTTCTTGGACCAAGGCACAGTTAAATTATAAAGGAGAACCATGAAAAAATGATTTATGTAAAGAAGTTATTTGTGAACTATACATATATAATAAACCAGGTATTTTCTCATAGAAAAGCTGCCAGATTTCCCCACCAAGATGAAATGCTAACACTCTCTCCACTGAAGAGCTTTAAATTCTTTAATTCTTTCAAATGTTTTCCTAAGTACAGAATGAGATTAAAGATTCTTAAATCATGATATTTCAAAGTAAGGACCCAATTTATTAAAAATCTTATCTATAACAGAGATTCTAAACTTTTGGTTCACTTTCATGAGCAGGGCAATAGGCTTCATTGTACATTCAATTTACTAATTCTTCACTATATTTCATAATCCTGTCATCTCTCCAGTTTTTTTTTTTTGTGTGTGTGTGTGTGTGTGTGTGCACGCGCGCCTGTGGAGACAAGGCCTCCCTATGTTGCCCAAGCTGGCCTCAAACTCCTAAGCTCAAATGATTCTCCTGCCTCAGTCTCAGTAGCTGGGCTGTGATCGCAGTTGTGGGCATGCCACCATACCTCGCCCTGTCATCTCTTAAAAACCATAAAACATGCAGTTTTATTCCATGTCCTTACTCAACATACATGTCTATATTTTCAATAGAAGACTTTTTTTGGATCACTCCATGGGCCATACCCATTCCATTTTATTTTAGCTTTCTTTGGTTTGATTATTACAACAAAAATAGTTACTTTTATTCAATGGAACTGGGTATGGGAAATAGGGTAGAAGAACACTGAAATGTAAATATATAAACGTCAAGTGCCGGTTCTTTTTTCCTCTCCCATCCTAGACTTTCATTAATAAAACAAAACAATAATGGAAAGGAAAGACTGGTAGGGATGAGAGATCAGACAGTATACTGACTCTTCATTTTGGGTTATCTTCATAGCTACAGCATACTACCCTGCTCATCTGGTAGCTACATTTGGCCTTGCCTTTGTATAACAGCTATTCTAGAAGAAAAGAATAAGGATTCTTAAGACTATGAAAGAAAGAATATAGATTTCGTCTCTAGAAAACAGTCTCTGGTTTCTTGATACATGGGCCATGTAAAATGAATAGCAGAACATCAGTTTGTAATTCTAATCTCTCCCTTTCTCTGCCCTATCCTCTCACCCTCGATGAATAAACTTCAGGATTTAGACAGAGGAAAGCCCATTCTGTAACTGATATGACAATTTTGCCCTCAAGCATAGTAAATCAGAGTGCTGAAGAGACATTTTTTTTTTTTTTTGTACCAGGCATTGAAACCAGGGGTGCTTACCCAGTCAGCCACATCCTCACCCCTTTTTATTTTCTATTTTGAGACAGGTTCTCACTAAATTGCCTAGGGCCTTGGTAAGTTGCTGAGGCTGGCCTCAAACCTGCAATTCTCTTGCCTCAGACTCCCAAGTTGCTAGGATTACAGGTGTGCACCACCATGTCTGGCACTTATTTGTACTAGAAACTAGGAATAATTGGGTTTGTCATAAATCCTTCACCCACCCACCCCCTGCCCACAACTTACTGTTTGTTCCCTAAGTTTATCATATAGAAACTCCAAACGTTTGCTGGCATCATCTAGTTTCCTCTTGGTTTGCTATAAGAGAGGAGGAAAAAACAATGGTAATTTTCTTGGTACCAAGGGCACTTAACCACTGAACCACATTCCCACCAGCCCTTTTTTATTTTTTTTTTAATTTTGAGACAGGATCTCACTAAGTTGCTTAGGACCCTAAGTTGCTGAGGCTAGCTTTGAACTTGCAATCCTCCCCCGTCTCAGCCTCCAGAGCCACTGGGATTACAGATATGTGCCACCACACCCCTCCAGATGTTAAATTTTAAACTTAACTTACATCTAAAGAAACTGCCCTACTCTCATTTCACTAAATCTTACACTTAACATGTTTTGAATGGTTTCGTTTTATCAAAGAAATGGAGGCACCTATGACTGAGAAACTTTAACAAATTATTAGAAAAAATACCAGTAATCTATTAACAGTAGGGTTGTGGGAAAGAAGAGAGAATGAGATTTCTTTCTAGTGGGCAAAAATGGGATATTGACTGGATTTCATGTAGACTGAAAACTCATTTGACAAGGTATGTGTATGTATAATTGCATTATTTCACAGACTTCCAGAGGAAGCAATGGGTTAGTGTACCATAGAAAAGAAGGTTTGAGTTCAGTTTTATAGTATGGATACTAAAAGGCAAATACAGGGGAACTGTGGAATCTTGTATTATTTATTTAACCTTTCAAAAATACTACTTACATTTCTATGTTTGGTACAATTAATCCTGACTCTTTCAGAGTGGCTAGGATTATAGGTGTGTGCCACTGCGCCTAGCAGGCCACACATATTCATATTTAGTGTCTGATGAAATTCCAGAAGCTGCTTTTTTCAAGATAGACAAGTGGCCAATGGCTTAGATAAATATATTCAATGCTCACTGGCAGAAATGAAAATTAAAATAGGATTGGCTTTGTGGATTTTTTTTGTTGTTGTTTGTCAATACACAGGCATCCTCTATGTAAACTAAGTAAAATTGTATATGACTTCCATATCTATAATATTAACTATCCTTAAGATCTTTGCATGTTGCGATTATATTCTATCATATGCTAAGAGGAGATTTGTAGATGAGAGGCAGTATAGCTTAATGATTGAGAGTTATGAAATTTGGAGCCAGATTGTCTAGGTTGAAATGCTGGCTCTGACTTTATGTGTTATTTAACTGTCCTTTGCCTTAATTTCCTCATCTGTAAAATAAAAATAACAAATGTATCTACATGCATTATTGTGAGAATTAAGTATGTTTATACATAAAAAAATCTTTGTAATGTAAACTATAAAAGCACTAGCTTTATTACTTTATACAAATTTTTTAGAAATATATCTTGTAGAACTTCAAAAAATAACTAAGGAAGAACTCCATAAAAGACAACTTTAATTTTAATAATAAATACATACAGGATCTGTGGCTGAAGAGAGGCAGCGCTGAATAAGATCCTCAAATGTGGTCTTTAGAATGAGGTGCTCATCTGGAATAGGTTTCTTAGTAATTTTTTCTGTTGGCAATGACTGCACATGCTGGAGGAAATAGTATCATAAAATGATCAGAATGACCAGAATTGTATTGTATACACCACGTTTTAAAGCTATGAAATAAAGAGAAACCAATGACCTTGTAGATAGACCTATTTGAAATCCAATGAAAATTTAACATGTACAATCAGGCGGGATAAGTAAAATGGAAAGTCATATACCGGTAGCTTTAAGTACTCTTCCTACAACTTGGATTCGAATAGTAGATTGGATGTAAGTAATCAACTAGTTAGATAATATATATTGTCCATTACTGTATATAACTGATGGGTAGTAAACCTGTGCCAGCAGGAATATAAACAAAGCACTGGAAAACACAGCTGGTTAGAGTGGCTGCCTGCTCTGGCATTTTCCTACTCTTTGTTTTACTCCTAGAGATTATCAAAATTGCAAGATTAAGTCAAAGGTTAAAATGCAATAGACCATGATGTTGCTGAATGGATTGATAGAACAACAAAGAGGAACTTTTAGGTTTTCTAAATTTTGACCAATTCATTCATTCAAAATATATTGGGTAATTATGTACAGGCACTGGCTAGATATGTATTGGTGAGTCAATATAGAAAAGATCTCAGTCCCAGGGAGTTTACAGACCAATGGAAGGGATAGAAAGGTTAAGAATGGTTTAAGTGTATGTAAAATAGCAATCGTAGTAAAGTTAACACTTAGTGAAACAAAAAAGACATTACAACTGGGATTTGACTAAAGGAAGTGGAAGGTTCTCTTCAGGAAATTATGCTGGAATGATTCATAGAAGCTAACCAGAAGGAAAACATTCCAGATTGAAAGAATAACTTGTACAGGGAAGGATCATGATACAAGGGGCCCCAAAAGGGACCAGTGTGGCTAGAGTAGAGAGAGCAAGAACGAGTATGAGCTGAGGCCTTCTGGATGATGTTAAATACTGAGGGTTTTATCCTGAAAACAATGGGAAGCTGTAATGTTTTAAGGAAATAGGAAACAAGGCCAAGGTAGAGATGAATCAAAGTAAATGTGGGCATACCGATTAGGAGGCTGTGGCATTGGTGAAGATGAGAGATAAGTAGCATGCAGCAGAGTGGAAATGTAGAGAAGGGATTAAAAAATATTTTAGAATAATATTAATAAGATTTGGGAGAAAGATTTGAAATAGAGGTTAAAGGGAAGAATATAAAAGATGATTCCCAGGTCCTGGATTCAATAGAAAACATTATGGTGCCATTCATTGAAATAAGAAGTAATAAAGACTAGGTTTAAGAGGCAGAACATGAATAAGCTTTTGGACACATTGAGGTTGGATGCAGGCAGCTGGATATATGGCCTGGCTGAACACTAAGTATCTCTTCCTTTTGATGGTAACTGATATTCTGGTCTAGATGAAGACAGCATGAAAATCCAGGTCTAAATCAAGGTGACAGCTGAGTAGGTTTTTCAAATAACATGGGTTATATATCATAAAATACAAAAAAATTCTTTATAATTTGTTTTTGATGAAAGTCTTCCCACCTTCACCAAAATATGTGTTTCATAATGCACCTTACAGTATTAAACAATTCCTTGGGCATAATATCTCTTAACTGCAAAGCATGATAGATACATACAATCTTTAAAGTAAAAAATAGTAGAACTAGTTTTTGTTGTTTGTTTTTTTTACTTAGGCAGGAGTTTTTTTCATCTTCTTATGTTGAACTTTGGTCCAACCTCTTTACTTTTTCATGACTAGATCAAATTTCTTTGAGGTCAAAGTCAATTATTTGGCAGTGTGGTAGATTTTTTCTATATCTAGGACTGTGTCAACTAGTTATCTATGTAAAAAGCAAGTAAAAATGTGTATCTCTATCCACAGATAAAGCCATGTTTATTAACATTTATACATAAAACATGTGACTCATTACATTTTTATTTAATGTTTTAAAGGTAAAACCTTTGAAACCGTTTTTTTTCCTTAGTAAAATCAGGTAGAGATGATTCAAACTAATTTTAAACTGTGACTACTGAGTAGATCAAGTAAAATATTGTGATTTCCAATTTACAGTAAAAATATACTCACAAACATACATGAAATTGCAAAATAATATACATAATCTTAAAAGAAAAGGGTTACAATTTTTGGTTTAAGTTCTCTACATTGAAATCAAATTTGGATATTCATTAATAATGGTATAATCATATAAATTTAACACATTAAGGAAAATGTACGTAAGCAGAGCCATCTTCCCATTACACTTCCATAGATTTACTGTTACCTGGATGGTATTTCCAATTGGAGCCCCTGGAGCACCTTCAATATTGGGCTTTGAGAAAGCTGGTGGCATGCCTGTCTGACCAAGAGGTTGCTGTATACCATGGAAGTGCTGGCCACCTGCAAGATGTGGCTGTGGGAAAGAAGCTTGGTTTGACAGTGGTACTGGAGCTGAAGGTTGCTGCTGCAGCATCTGTGACTGGGGGTCACCCAAAGGATTCATGATTGGCGATGTGATGGGTACAGGAGGCGTGAAGTTTTCAGGCATCTTTTAAAAGACAGAAATAAAAGACATCAAGAGAAAGAATAAGGATAGCATGGTTCCTAAGATTTAAACGAAGAAGTATTCCTGTGGCTAAACAATTTTTTAAAATAGTAGAATACCTTTTTCAAGTGAAATTTTATGTGGCATTATAGAGTAAAACATAAAAGTAGGGCTGCAATTGTGGCTCAGTGGTAGAGCACTTGCCTAGCATGTGTGAGGCACTGGATTTGAGTCTCATCACCACTTACAAATAAATAAAATAAAGGTCCATCAACAACTAAAAACTATATTAAAAAAAAACAAAAAACATAAAAGTAGAGTTAATCTGGCTAAGATGGGTGGGGATCTCATCTAGATTTCTCCATCTCCCCTTTCTTCCTATACTTACACCCAATAAAGGGGAGCCCAAACCATGGCACTTTTGAAAAAGGATGTTAAGTAAGGAGAATTATATATAACAAAATGGGAATCCGATGCAAGCATGTGTGTGTGTATGTGTGTGTACATGAATGTGTATGCATATGCACATACACTAGTAGGCATTTAATGTCATCAGGATGTAATACCCTTTTCCGAGATCACTAAGCCGATACCACTTAGCAATTCTATCATATTAAAAGTAATAGATTAAGGTTCTGATTTTAATGACCTTGTATTTTTGGGTTCCTTGTTCATTTATCTCTCATTACTATATTTGGGGAAAGAGGATCACTGGGAATAAAAAAAAGTAGAAAACCGTTTGAAAAGAAAGAAGAAAAAAAAATCTTATTTTGTGTCCAAATAGCTCCAAACAATTATCACATATAATACAGGCTGCATTATTATTCATTATTATATGAAATAGATAAGACATCCAAAATATAATTATTTTTTTTAAATTTTTTTTTTAAAAGAGAGAGAGAGAGAGAGAATTTTTTTTTTAATATTTATTTTTCAGTTCTTGGCAGACACAACATCTTTGTTTGTATGTGGTTCTGAGGATCGAACCGGGCCGCAAGCATAGCAGGCGAGCGCGCTACCGCTTGAGCCACATCCCCAGCCCCAAAATATAATTATTAAAGTCATGATTATTATGGGAACCCAAAGATTGAAGTAACTCCTAAAAAAAATAATAATAATTTGTTTCCTACTTTTTGTATGTGTGTGTGCGTGTGGTACTGGTGATTGATCCCAGGACCTTGTGCACTGAGTTACATTCCCAGCCCTGCTCCTTTTTTAAAAATATTTTTAGTTGCAGATGGACACAATGCCTTTAAATTTTTTTTATGTGGTGCTGAGGATTGAACCCAGTGCCTCACATGTGCCTCTCCACTGAGCTACAACCCCAGCCCTACAGTCCCAGCCCTTTTTATTTTGAGACAGGGTCTTGCTTAATTGCCCAGACTGGTCTCAAACTTGCAATTTTCTTGCCTCAACCTCATAAGTACTGGGGATTACAGGCCCATGCTCCTGTGCCTACCTTGTTTGGTGGAAATTTACATCTTGCCTTCTAAAAAGGCTTTAATTTAGACCACCATCATCAAAGTAAGGTTTTAATGATAGTGTTTTCTGCTTTATTTACTTCTTGCCATTGATTAGAAGATACATGCTGAAATATGCTTTAAATACATCAGTAAGCTTTGCCTTTAAATGGATCAGTGAGTGTGATGTGCTCCAAGTGACTATATGATTAATATAACATCTGTAGGCCACTGRATGTCTTTTTCTAGTACCTTCTTCTTCTTGGGTACTCTGTTCAAAGCTGGAGGATCATTCCAACCATTCTGAGGACCTAGAATAAATAGAGGACATTTTCCTTTAGAATCCYGAAAGAAAGAAAATGAAATTGAACCTATCATCTAATGCCTTGAAGTTCTGCCTTATCACTGAGATAACTGAACTGTTATACAGGCTTTATGAATTGGGATCATTATGTAACACTGGATTTTCAAACTTATAACTCTAATAGTCACATGGCAAGGTATTTTGATATTATATCAATTTAAGGTGAAAGAGTTGTGCTAAATTTTAAGGAGGGTGAAGTTTTTATGTTTATACTGGTGCACAGCCTTCAAAGACCAGTTTACTATTCTCTCCTAAGAAAGAAA